GACGGGACTAACGTCTGGTCAGAGGGACGGGACTAACGTCTGGTCTGTGGGAATGGACTAACATCTGGTTTAAGGGACTAACGTCCGATGATGTGGGACGTGACTATTATCTGGCTTGTACCTGAAGAGCGGGCGAGTGAACTTCATCCTGCCCTGCTCGGTCGCCATCTTCAGCGCCAGAGGAACTGCCTCCTCCCACTTCGACCGGACACACAGCTTCAGCCACCTGAAAGGAGGGCAGCCAATCAGAAGGAGGCTTCACGGTGAGGAGGAGGAGCTTAGATAATAGCAAAGTCTGGCTGCAGACAGACTCACCTGAAGCGGATCTCTGAGTTTGTACAGGTGTTCAGATTGTAAACCTCCTGCATCTTCTTCACGTGAGTCAGAGGGAGCGGATCCTGGGAGACAAACGGGTCAAACGTCAGTGGACTGAGCAGAACTCAGGTGGACTCTGGTGGGTTCTGGTCTTACCTCCTGAAGCAGCAGCGACAGGAACTCGATGACCTGGTGGGACGACAGCGTCTTCATGTCTGATTGTGTGAAGCTGCACAGGTCCTGGTCTTTGGCCTAAAGGGGGACAGATAGTTGAGTCTAAAACCGTGAAGGTGCCAGAACAGACCCAGATCAGGTGCAGGTCTTACCTTGAGCCACTTCTGACTTAGAGCAATGCAGGCGTCAGCCAGCGTGGTGTCGTACCTGCAACACGACATCAAATCAGAACTGTCAGGTCAAGATGAACACAAACTCAAAGATCCACTTACTGAGGTTTGACAGGTGGCATCCCAGGAGTAAACATCCAGGCGTTCCAGTCCACCTGGGCCAGGACCTCCACCTGACAGACAAAGGGTCAGACTAAGTCCTGGTTCTCATTTAAAACCTGACAAAAAGTTTTCATTAGATCAGAAACTAGTTGTGGCCTCAAATTCCTCATTGTACAGAAGAACCTCTGAGCTCACCCGACAGCCCAGATGTTCCTCACCCGACGGCCCAGGTGTTTATCACCCGACGGCCCAGGTGTTGTCACCCGACAGTCCAGGTGTTTCTCACTCGACAGTCCAGGTGTTTCTCACCCGACAGCCCAGGTGTTGTCACCCGACAGTCCAGGTGTTGTCACCCGACAGTCCAGGTGTT